AAAAAAAAAAAAAAAAAAGAGAGAGAGAGAAAGAGAGAAATGCGAAAGCAAAGTTGCCAAGAGATCACTGTTGACTTAAGATAAACATGTTTGTTAAAAGAGAGAATTCTGAATTATATTTGCATAATGTATGTATTGTTACCTATATTGTGCAAAACATCTTTATTATATGTATTGTCAAGACAATAAAGATAAGCAGGCCGGGTTCGGTGGCTCATGCCTGTAATCCCAGCACTTTGGGAGGCCAAGGCAGGCAGATCACCTGAGGTCAGGAATTCAAGACCAGCCTGGCCAACATGGTGAAACCCCGTCTCTACTAAAAATACAAAAATTAGCTGGGTGTTGGGGCGGGCTTCTGTAATCCCAGCTACCCAGGAGGCTGAGGCAGGAGAATCACTTGAACCCAGGAGGCGGAGGTTGCAGTGAACCGACATTGCACCATTACATTCCAGTCTGGTCAACAAGAGTGAAACTTTGTCTCAAAAGAAAAAAAAAGAAAAACAGACTGAAATTTTTAGAAATTTCTTTACTTGTCTACCAAGTTCATAGAAAAAAATATATAATTTATGCTATATGTTTCCAAAGGCATCCCTCCAAAGTAAACAAATTATGCTTCTTTTTTACTTTTAAGTCCAAGGGTACATGTGCAGGTTTGTTATATAGGTAAGCTTGCGTCTTGGGGATTTGTTATACAGATGATTTCATCACCCAGGTATTAAGCCTAGTGCCCAGTAGTGATTTTTCCTGATCCTCTCCCTCCTCCCAACCTTCACCCTCTGATGGGCTCCAATGTGTATTGTTCCCTTCTATGTATCCATGTGTTCTCATAATTTAGTTCTCACTTATAAGTGGGAACATGCAGCATTTGATTTTCTGTTCCTGGGTTAGTTTGCTAAGAATAATGGCCTCCAGCTCCACCCATGTCCCTGCAAAGGACATGATCTCATTCTTTTTATGTTGCCCATCAGTTACTAAGTTTGCTAAGGCATAATTTTTTTTTTCAGCATTAAAAAAAAAATGTTTGAACAGACTCATGAGTACAGGCAGAGTTCAAAGTTAACGGTGATGTTGCTGGTCCTATACTATACAAGACGGATGGGCCTTCTCTTGCACTCTCTCCTACTATAAACATATGTATTTGTGGCACACCAAAGCCCCAGGTTGAATCAATAAGAAAGCTCGAGAGAACAAAAAATCAACCTGTCTCTTTCGTTTGAGTCACAATTTGCTCATTTAGCAATCCAAGTTCAACCTGTTCTTAAGTTTAAACCCCAGGGTATGTGATTCGTATGAACCTGCCAGGAAGTCCACTAACTGCAGGCCGAGCAAGATTGTTCGGTAGATAGCAGACCTAGAAATCTGCCCTTATCTTTGAAAGAGATTTTCTAACTGGTATTCACTAGCTCTATCTAGAATTCTGGAGTTCCTCTGCTGAGAAATACTTGTGTTCAGTTATCCACGTTTACTCAATAAAGCTCTCACCTCCTAAATGGGCATTGGCAGAGACAGCCCTGTACCCCTCTCTACCCCTCTACAGATGCTGCCCATGTCTTTTAACTTAGCAGAGGGATCACCCAGGCCATTGGCCCATGCTGCTTTTGTGGAATCTAGAGTTTATATCATTTAAGTGGGAATACAAAGTTACAAATACAAAATCAGATATAAAGTATATTTGGAATGAGAAAAGAAATGACCGCAGATTATGAACTTTGAAGATGACAGACATCACAAAATAAAAATCAATTGCATGTTATTTTCATCAATTCATTGCTTGACACTCCCCTAGCATATATTACATTGTATGGCTACGCACTTTTTGCAGTTAAAATATCTTACTTTTGCAATGTTGAAAAAAACCCATGACCAGATGAGGGCATTGCTAGGCCCTGCCTGCAGCCTTGAGAGGGGCCTGGAGTTGACACTTTTCTGTCTTTGTGGTTCAGTGGCCTCTAGTCATTGGCACTGCTCACACCACCAGATGACTCAGTCTGCTAAACACCACACTGGCTGCCCTGTGTGAGCCGAGTCAGGCTGTTACTCAAGCCGTGTAAACCAGTAAGGTAAAAGTTGGTATTTTCTTGAACTTGCCACTTTAAAGGGTTGGGGCAGACTTTCAGAGTTGGCAGAACCTTAGTTGCCGTCATATTCGCAAGACAGGGACTGGAGTCTGTATCTTGGGACCTCTTCTGGTTACATCTAGCTCTGCAGTGTTTCTTATGCATATAGCTCAGTGCATGTTGTGACTTTCTATGGCATTGTGGTTTGGCTTGGCTGTTAAAATGGTTTACTATTTTAAGGATGACAGTGTTGGGTGTATCTAGCAGTTTCACATGCATCCACACGAGGGCTCATGGTATCCTATTGCTCCTGAGATACAATCTGACCCTTCTTTTTTGGAGACAGGGTCTCATTCTGTCACCCAGGCTGGAGTGCAGTGGTGCGATTACCAGTCACTGCAGCCTCGACCTCTTGGGCTCAAGTGATCCTTTTACTTTAGCCTTCCAAGTAGCTGAAATTCCAGGTGCACACCACCACGCCTGGCTAATTTTATTACCTTTTGTAGAGACAAGGTTCTCACTATGTTGCCTGGTCTGAAAACTCCTGGGCTCACGCGATCCTTCTGCGTCAGCCTTCTGAGTAGCTGGGATTACAGGTGCACACCCCACCGGGCTAATTTTATCTTTTTTTTTTTTTTTTTTTTTTTACAAGGTTCTCACTATGTTGCCCAGGCTGATCTCAAACTCTTGGACTTAAGCGATCTTCTGCCTGAGCCTCCTAAGGTGCTGGGAATACAGGCATGAGCCACTGCAGCTGGCCTTGAGCCTCCCTTCTTGGCAGGCTGTTAGTCGGGGTAAAACATACTGTTTATCCCTCCCACGTATTGCAAGTTCTGCAGTTAATGACCACTACCTCCTTTGAGAGTTTCGTTTTGTTTTTGTTTTTGTTTTTGAGATAGAGTCTCGCTCTGTCACCCAGGCTGGAGTGCAGTGGCGCCATCTAGGCTCACTGCAACCTCTGCCTTCCGGGTTCAAGCGATTCTCCTGCCTCAGCCCCTCAAGTAGCTGGGATTACAGACCTTCATCATCATGCCTGACTAATATTTGTATTTTTAGTAGGGACGGGTTTCAGCATGTTGGCTAGGCTTCTCTCGAACTTCTGACCTCAAGTGATCCTCCCACCTCGGCCTCCCAAAGTGCTGGGATTACAGACATGAGCCACCGCGCTTGGCCAGAACGTTTTATTTTCCTTCCAATAACTTTGTGCCATTGTCCATATTGTTATTACCCCCAAATAAGTATCCCCAACCAAGTAAACAGTTCCTTTCTTTTCCTGTTATCAACATCTAGCCACTGCACACTCAGAACCAGCTTTGAGCATTTGGAGATTTGAGACTATTTGTCTTCTTACTAAACATGCAGGCAGGTGCAGCTTTTTTTTTTTTTTTTT